ATTCAATGGAAATATTGAGCCTATTTATACCATTGTGGGAAAATTCAACTATCAGTCCATATTCTTATTCGACCTTAAGTAAACAACTTTTATGTACTCTCTAGTGGTAGTTTCAAAACCTACTTAATCGAAATATTTCGCTTACTTTTTAGGCAAACTTAAGGAATTCGAAGGTAGGAAGAGCAAGAGTGTGGCCTTTTGTGTGGTCGCAGTCTCCTTTCGTTGTATAGAGGTTGTTTGACCTTGTTTTCGCAACTTCGTCATATTGGTAGAAAGACTTAGAGTAACGCATCTAGCCCGGAGTCCATTGTATGCATGATCATTTCCAGAGTAGGACCGTGGACGTGGTGCATTCCCAGACGTCTCGACGGCATCGTCAGTGAGTCTTACCATTCTTAGCACCACAAAACAACTCGTCAAAGAAACAAGTGAAGCTCTGGGCAATTTACATTTCCTATATCCTCCTATCACAGCTTCACCGTTTCAATGTTTACCGTGCTTATTTCGATGTAGTGTGGTGTGCTCCTTTGAGCGGCATTCATGAAGACCCTTCACACTCTACGCTGTCTTTCTCATCCCCTTCATCCTTGTGCTGGGAATGTTGACCAGAGTCTGCCATATTGTTACGTACTCCTTTCCTGGGTCCTATCTCCCTGCTATCTCCGTGGTACATGTATTTCACACGACCCTTGCCCCCCAATTTATGCTACTTGAGGCGTTATTGGCTCTCCCCTGCGTCTGGGTGACTTATTACTGATTCAAGGCTAAAGCCTCTGAATAATCTTCATGGTCATGCCTTTGCTACATGGACCACGTCTCTTGTAAAACCTACTGTCACCCAACTAGCTCCAATCGCCGCCGCGTTTATCCTGTCTTTATCCCTAATACCAAGTCTATCACTTACTATGCCCTAGTCTCTTGTGTGCCAACCCACGAATGTTGTGGTACTGTTTGCTTTGATTAGGTTCAATGCTTAAACACAACGTTTGTGGGTCTGCCACAAGAATTCTAGATTCAGCGAGGACAACTAAGAGGATACGATTGGACCAACGATATCTATTGAACAACAGGAAGATAATATTGAGGTACAAATGGAAGTCAAGAGAAGGCGACTAAAGTGAGAGTAGTCAAGCCTGAAATTATCTTCAAAAAGTTACCTGGGTCGGTCTATCTGGGTATATAGATGTGAAGTGTCATATGCTACCGAATAGTGCATCTTTAGGAGGGCAGGATTTGGAGCTACTTTAAATCCATTTGGGTGTGGCAAATGATTTGGGGGGTCACAATATCACTTGGTTTTCCGTACATAGGTTAAATGAATTTCTGTGTGTGTGTGCGGCTTTATTGAGATGGCCTTTGAAAGGCCTGACAAGGGTAGTTATTACCCATTCATTACTCTCTCAGAAGTGAGTAGGAACTTAGGATTAGATGGATCTGACAACGTGATAGCCAAGCTGGGTATAGAAGTGTTTTCATGTTTTCGCAATTTGGTCTTATTGTCAGGACGACCTGGAGGAACTCACATTGTCTGGAATCAATAATATTTATAATAATTTCGTGATCCGGAAGGCGGACTTGGTATCTTCCCTGAAGTTTTGCTGGCATCTTCAGCCAGCCTTGCTATTCTTAGCCCCATACTGCATCTCCGGAAAGAGAAAGGAACTTTCCTCTAGTTTTCCCTGGCAAAACCATAAAGCTGTAAAAACAAGCTAAACAATTTTATATGAGTAAAGGAGACCCCAACCATACATTAGATGGTATTATTAAAGTAGGATTGCCAAAAATACATTGATTCCAGGGTCCGGGAATTGATAAATAGGGGGTATGACAAGAAATTGTTTAGATATGGGATAATAAGACGATGTAGATTCCAGCTGGCTCGACAGCATTTTAATATTTTCGTATTGAAAACATCTACCATTTCAAACGAAAATGTGGGTAAGGTAGTGAATTTTTTCTCAGTTTATCTCTCTTTCAAAACCATAGATCTCTTGAATAAGGAGCTAAATTTTTCTCTAGGTAACGAAGGAAACATCTGATAAGATATTCTTGTGAAGGTCGTGAACTTCTTGGAAATTTCCTAAATAGTGGAACAATTTCAAGGACGGGACATGAAATCGATAAAAAAGCTGTCTTCATATGGTTAAAACACAAGAAAAGGCAAGATCTGAGAGGCTATTGATATCCTTACTGAAATAAATCTGATGACCAGAAGACTCAAAGAAGGCAGAATTGCATATTGTTCAAGCAAATTTGAATGAGATCAAGGAACGACAAGATCAGGGCCACTCATATCATTGTAAGAGAATTCAACTACTAGTCCTTCATTGAAATTCATATCTGTCCTGTGACTCAATGGCACTCGTGGCAATATGGTGTAGTGGTCAATATGCCGAGATTACACCCTTAACTGTTATTGTTCGAGTCCCGCTCGGTATGTTGACAAGAACTAGACCAGGTCGAAATTCTAATCCAGCCTGGATATGAACGCCTTTTTGGAAAGCAAAGCTATGCCAAACTAAATGCTAGTGTCAGCTCTACTCATATCATTGTGGGAGGATTCAACTACCAGCCCTCCATCACATTAAATAAAATAGAATGAATTCAGCTCACATAGAATATAATGTTTGAGTGGCCTGACTGGCCGTAAAATTCACGTATATCCTGTGACCTACTGGCACTCTTGGCAGTGTTCAAAGTGTTTGCGAAAATAAACACCACGCTTTCTGTGTTTAATTTACTTTTAATGTGCTGATGAGGCCTAGAAGAGTTCAAAGTTTCAGCTTACTCTGGATGATAATACCTATTAGTATGCAAGCTAAGTGAAATTCAACAGCATCGCCAGATAATTGTTTTGCTAAAGTCTGTTCTTCTTTTCAAACTATGATATTTTGACTATCAGTCGAATCGAATAAAATAAACAATCATCAACGAACATGTATTAATAATTTATGCCATCAGCTTCCAATAGCAAGGCCTTTGATAAACAAGCATTTAATAATAATCCAGTTATAAAATTATCGTAGAAATACAACAATTTAAAAGTATAGAGGCTGTTTGATCTTGTTTTCGCAACTAGGTCATATTGATAAGAAGACTTAGAGGAACGTACCTAGTCCGAAGTCCATTGTATGTATGATAATTTACAGTCGAACCTTGGACGTGGTACATTCCCAGACGTTTCGCCGGCATCGTTAGTGAGTCTTGCCAGTCTTATCGCCACACTACAACTCGTCAATGAAACAAGTGAAGTCGATCCTTTGACCAAATATATGCTAAACATTTGTGGTATCTCTCCTTCTTTCATAAACTATTTACCTATCCTATATCCTCGTATCACGCCTTCACTATCATAATTTTTTCCTTGCTTATTTAAATGTAGTGCGGTGTGCCCTTTAGAGCAGCTTTCATGAGAACCCTCCAAACTTCACTCTTGTGCTAGGAATGTTAATCAGAGTCTGCCATATATTTACTCAGTCCTCTTTACCTAGGTCTTATCAGAATCTCCCTTTTGCCCCGTAGGATCCGTCTACTAACATACCACACTATTTCTAAATAAGCATGGTAAAAATTATAACAGTGACGGCGTGATACGAGGATATAGGAAATATAAATAGCCCAGGACAGAAGAGGAGATATCACAATTGTTTAGCACACATTTGGTCAAAGGATCTGTTTTACTTGTCACTGACGAGTTGTAGTGCCGTGCTAAGAATGACAATGCTCACCGACTACGATGCCGTCTGGGAATGTACTACGTCCACGGTCCGACTTTGGAAATTATCATTCATACAATTGGCTCCGGACTAGGTGCGTTCCTCTAAGTCTTCCTACAAATATGACTAAGTTGCGAAAACTAGGTCAAACAACTTCTATACAACGAAAGGAGACTGCGACCATACAAAAGGCCACGCCATTTTGGTCTTCATATCTCCGATTAAAGTATTTTGACTAAAAGTAAAATTCCATCTATTAGAAATAAGATTGATCCTTTTTCTCATTTTGAATAGAATTTGGAAGTCATTTTTTTAATATTTTGTTTTTAAATACGGGTTCCACCATCACCTCTGGTAGTAGAGCAATGGTATCCTTTTGAAAATAGGCTTTGTATTACCCGGGTATGATCTCCGTTTTGGATGACGATGAGATACAGGCTATATCGAAACTGCAATTCGCTCCCTTTGCAAATACCTTTTGGTCGGCAAATTGAAGTGGAAATGACTACATCTTACTCTATTTTGGTGAATTTCCACTATCAGTCTCTAAGTCACCCATAAACGGCCTCAGGTGATTGTTTATTCTCGAAAACCACTTGTATCGATGATAAGTTTTAAAGGTGATTAAATCATCTTATTGACTATTATGTTTTAAATACTAAATGAACTTACTGTCTTTGTCAATGAGTGAATGAACAAATATTGTAGCATGTTTATAAATATTTTATGTTATTCTTTCTTGATTTAACCAGGTGGAACAAGGACTTAGTGAGTGCCCTCCACCACGACCAATTTTTGATGCTACCTACTGGGAACATCTTGTTCAGTTCCATTATGCTGAAGACTTGCAGCGCCCCGTCACAGAGGTGACTACCACCACTTCCACAGCCATTATGCCTGCTGGTACTAATGCTCGTCGACTCAGAACTCCGGCATCGTTACCCCAGCACTCTCGTCGGCAGGGGATGGACAAGGTACCCACAGATCAGGCAGAATCTCTTCATTCCATGGGACTACCAGGGATTCCTGCTATCTGCAGAGAAACGCGGAATAGGGAAGGGAGTTTTTTAACAAGCCTACTTTCTTTGATACGCGGAAGGTACGATAGAACAGCTCATCCTGAAGCGAGGTCTTTATGTCATACCTTTGACGGGAAGCGCCTTTTGGGTCTTTTTAGTCAACGACCCAGTGAACGACACCCTACATTGTAAGTACACATAAACAGATTAAAAAGGATTAAATTGGACTTTTACCCAAGTCTGCATAAAATTCTTGCAAAGAAAAGTTGGTTTAGAGGAATCTCTTGTTTCATAATTGTTGAGCTTACTTCCATTTCGAGTGAAAGTGTTGGGTGAGGAGATTCGAAGGTCGGTTCCTCTAGAAGACAAG